ACGGATGCATTGAGAAAATTTGAGAGAGAAAAAACGCACAATATTCCATGTGCCTTAAAGACTTTAGCAGAATCCAAAAGTAACATGTTTTCTAACACTAAATATTGGTACAGTTGAGCTTTGACTTGCCAGTTGGTCTGTTACTTTTCTTTCCAAAATATTGCATGGTTGAAATAGCAAAATACACAGAGAACAGTACTACAAACAGCTGAAAATGACATTAGACTATAGATACACTTTCCTTCCCTTTTATTTTGATTTGATGCACTTAATATGTCAAATACATAAGCAAAAATGGGTTGAAATACCATTCTTTAAAACGTATGACATTATGACAATATGAGGATATTAAATTATTTATAATATTTACATAAAATAGAGTTGTCATTTCCTGCAGGTCACTCACAGGAACTCTTAGCGAAAAGATGATTAAGAATTAAAAGCTAATTAATAAAACAGATTTTTTTTTTATAAACCTGCCAATAGATGATGAAAACTTACTGGCCATAATTGATGTAAAAAAAAAAAGAAGCATATTATTAAGAAATATTTTATTAACTAAAATGTCTTATATGTGTCCTATGTGAATGTGTTATTGTTGGCATAGGATGAGACAATTGCTCATGTTCTGAAGGTAATTTGAGATTATGTATTACACTAGCATTTCAGAAAACACATTAGTAGCTTTATATAGTAATAAAAATACAAGACAAAAAACTGTAAATATATACAATTTTACTAAATACATTGTTAAACACTGTACACTCTTAAAAATAAAGGTGCTTCACGATGCCATAGAAGAACCTTTTTGTCTAAATGGTTCCATAAAGAACCTTTCTGTTTCACAAAAGTTTCTTTGTGGCAAAAGAAGGTTCTTCAGATTATAAAAAGGTAAGAAAGAGATGGTTCTTTGACCTTTGACTGAATGGTTCTTTGTGGAACCAAAAATTGTTCTTCTATGGCATCGCTGTGAAGAACCTTTTGAAGCACCTTTATTTTTAAGAGAGTACCTTGCCTGCTTATCATATTGAAGATTGGTATAATTCAGTATCATCAAGGCTTGACAAAGTATTATGACTCCAATGAATGACCGCAATCACAACACAATAAAACACCATATCACCTCTTATTAACCATAAATTCAGTTCTAACAATTCAACAATTCCTACAAATCACAGAACATGCCTCACTTCCTACATTTATGTCAGCCAGCTGTCACATGCCAAAACAAGCCTCCATCATACAACCCTTCATTACGACAGCCCGTAGCATCATCATATTATTCCAGATGAAATCCCTGGTGTCTGATAGAAAACGATTGCTTGTGTCAGATACTGAAAATGGCAGAGAGCTGCAGCCTGCTTTTTGATTCTGGGCGCAAAGTAGAACAAGTGTGCCTGCCAGCGCTGTCATTACCCTTGGCTTCAATTAACATCAAATGAACATTACAACTAAAATAGGCTGATTTAAAGAAGCAAGCAGCAACCGAGCAGAGCAGGTGCACATTAAAGCGTTTACTATATATGCACACAAGCTATAGGGGGAGAGATCCACTTGTTTGCCAGACCGTATGCATGAAAGGGCACACACTGACAAGACTGAGCGATGTTTTCACAACCAAATGAGGAGGGAGGTCTCGCTATTTTCAGTGGGCCAGAAGAGACAGACAGCGTACCGCATTGCACGGACGGTGTGTGGTTCTCCTGGCATCGCTTAGAAATTTTTCTTGCAATGGCACACGCTTGATTTTGAGCAACGACAACAATTACATCCTTTTGCTGCTGCGCACAGTTTTTGAGTCTGACCCACAAATCCCCCTAACTCGAGCAGCCAAAACCAATCTCCTCTCTACGTTTTTTTATATTACTCCTCTCAGCGTACATGAGATGTCTTTTTCAAGTGCAGCTACTTCAAAGCGAGGACGAGAGTCCCAGTGGGAACGAGGAGGAAGTAGAGAAGATAACAGTGAAGTGTTTGGGATGATGCACGCTCGCCAAGTTCCCTCTGCAGATCCGCAGGCGAACCGCTCTGAGATGAGAAACCACATGTTTTCCTTTCTTATAAAGGATGTAAACTACATGCTAATGAACGAAAGAGACAATAAATAATTTGCGATCTTTTTAAGTAGCTGACAAAGCATTGTGGGGTCATTACGCTCCTTTTGAAGTGAATCTGGTTTGCTTTTTGTTATCGAGCGCAATGGCACACGCTTGATTTTGAGCAACGACAACAATTACATCCTTTTGCTGCTGCGCACAGTTTTTGAGTCTGACCCACAAATCCCCCTAACTCGAGCAGCCAAAACCAATCTCCTCTCTACGTTATTTTATATTACTCCTCTCAGCGTACATGAGATGTCTTTTTCAAGTGCAGCTACTTCAAAGCGAGGACGAGAGTCCCAGTGGGAACGAGGAGGAAGTAGAGAAGATAACAGTGAAGTGTTTGGGATGATGCACGCTCGCCAAGTTCCCTCTGCAGATCCGCAGGCGAACCGCTCTGAGATGAGAAACCACATGTTTTCCTTTCTTATAAAGGATGTAAACTACATGCTAATGAACGAAAGAGACAATAAATAATTTGCGATCTTTTTAAGTAGCTGACAAAGCATTGTGGGGTCATTACGCTCCTTTTGAAGTGAATCTGGTTTGCTTTTTGTTATCGAGAACTCATTAAATGGCTTGTGAATTGCACCGTATTGAGATGTATTGAGGGAACTTGGAGTAACTAGAAATACGATGCATTCATAAATCCTTCTTGGAAACATATACACAGTAAAGTGCAATTAAAAAGTTAAAGCAATATAGTTGACTCAAATTCTGTCACTATTCACTAATCCTCATTTTGCTTCAAACCTCTATGACTTTCTTTCTTCTGCAGAACACGAGGACTGTTTTTATCCATACAGTGAAAGTCAATGGGGACCAAAACAACACTGGACACCACTGACGGTCATTGTATGGGGGAGGGGAGGGAGGAATACAGAAATACAAAATAATTTATTTTGTGTTCCACTCAAGAAAGAAAGTACATTTAATCAACATCTTGGCTACAAAATGTGAACTAAATAGGCTGCAAACAACTTTCTGCAGGTTTTATGAAGGTAAATTTAAGACTTTTTTATGTAATTTGTATTGCCAGTCTTGTACATATCTGTTGATATCTGTCTTTATTTCTGCGTAAAGAAAATGTAAGGAATCAACAGAATGGAATACATCAATATGATCTTGAAATTTAAATGTCTTGTTTTCGCAACATTTCAAAGTTTGAAAATGCAACTTCCTACAGATCACTTCACCAAAAAAAATCAAAATAAATAAAAAACACTTGCTTGAACAGCTCCTAGCCGCTATATGGAAATAACCTTTACTGTACCTTCTGATCACACTGCAAAAACATGACATTCTTTCTCAGGGTTTTTGTCTTGTTTTCCAGTGCAGATATCTAAAGATTTTTTTAAAATGAAGATACATTTACTTGAGAAGTGAAATGGCATAAAATAAGAAGTCTTGTTTTATGAAAAATTTTATGAAGACAAATTCAGTGAGCTTTTCATTAAAACAAGAACAAATATCTGCCTATGGACTAAGAATAAATCAACTTAATACAAAGGGAAAATAAGCTTTTATTTCCCATTGAGAGAAATTGAATAAAATTAAGTAAGCTTATGCTTAAAAAAACATCGAAGAAAATGTTTCTATAAATGTATCTTGATTTAAGGATGTTGAGATATTTGCTTTGTAAAACAAAACAAAAATACTGAGGAAGACTTTTTTTTTTGCAGCGCATGCAACATTTAATGCCATGACTTTATGAATTTCAGTCTTTCTGCTCCAATTTCAACCCTTTTTAGGCCTGTGGAAGGGCGAATTAAGACGTTTTAAGACTTGCAGAAACGTTTGACCCAATAATTTCCAACAAGAAAAAAACCGCACAAAAGCTTCTTGGCATCAAGCATAAGCAAATCACACTGCATTTAAAAAAAATGTTCAATACTTGTATTACATTCAATCTGTCACGAATCCGGTCCATGAACTTCCAATTTTATTGACTCTCGCACTACACACTGTTGCACATCACCCCGGACTACATTTCCCATCATGCATTGCACTGATTGCACTCAGCACGGATTGCACACAGCTGTTTACACTGATTGCACCCAGCTGCTTCATATCACTCCCTCACTATTTAACACTCACTCTGATCCCTTCCCTCTGCCGAGTATTGTCTAGCGATTATCACACTCCTAGCGATAGCTACTCTACAGAGCCCTAGGTCGTTTTTCCCAGCCTTAACCTTAGCCTTAGCCTAGTTTTGCCTTGCCTTGTCGGTCTCCTTCGGTTTTGATCTTCGCCTGTTTTCCTGGACTTCTCCCTTTAGCCTTGCCCCTGTGACTCTGTCTGCCTACCGTCGACCCACGCTAGCCCTGTGACTATTCTTGTGTCTTGCCCGCCATATTCCTGGTTGCCACTGATTACCCTGCCTGTCTGATGACCATGTCTCTGTCTTCTCCAAATAAAGCTTTGCATATGGATCCGCACGTCTCGCATCTCGTCAGCCCCGTTACAAAACACATCTGTGGTCACTTTAAATATTGGTCTTATAACCAAAATTTAGTACATCTCAACCGTCCATACCCAAATCTACATTCAAAGTCATCTTATTATAAATATTATGCATTATATTATAAACTCATTTCCAGGAAGACTTGTATCCATTTTAGCATTCTGCATCTGTGCTAACAGAGCTGTGCCCGAGTGACTAAGAGTGACATGATTTATTGTGAATGGGTTTTGGAGGAGGGAAACAGACTCCACATGAAGCTCATATCCTGGTTGGCTTTCGAAACGCTAGATGCTACAATCTGATTAGAAGCTACATGGAAATACAATATGACACGCGTCCATTTTGACGCCTACCTCATTTATTCTCCATTTCTCCGGCTGTTGAATCCTTTAAGAAAGGGCCAAATAAAACAGCTTTTTATGACTGAGTAGAGTTACCTGCTGCTGGATTTCTCCGTCTTAAATCTCTTCAGACAGTCAGAGGAACAGCACCACACCAGAGAGAAACAACTGAAAGAGAAAAAGAGACCAGGATTTAGAGGTTTAGGGCACTGAGTACAGATACGAGAGGATAGTCTCTCTGCTCCAGCAATCATCCACACTCATTGAAACTGACATAGATATTCTTTAAGGAAGAGGCTTAGACGGAAAAGGGAAGTAGCATATGAAACATAAAATTGACAAGCATAATCATGCTGCCACATAAAAATGTTGTGATCTTATTTTTATTCAAATGTTTTGCACAATTATGATCTTAGCTTGTTCCTAGTTTGGATTTTGGTAGTGGAAATAACTTAGTTTTGTTTATTGAACTGTAGTAAATCTACTTTTCTAAAAAAAAATATTAATGTGAAAAACGTAACTAAAAATATAAATTACTGGCATGAAAAAATAGAAATCAAATTAAAGGCCAAAAATAACATCACCTATCCCTTTCCCACCACCCTCAGTGTTAATCTATGGCACACTTGTAAAACATCAGAATATTTCATTCATGGACTTCAAAGGTTCCTGCTCCTGTCAAAGAATCACTTGTCATCTTGTGATGGGCTTTGTGATTTATAAAGAAGGTGACAACAAAGAGTCATGTGTTTCTCACAGTTTGAAAGTCTTGATTCATGGATTACTGAAGCTTATTTTAGAGGTCAAACTCATCAGGGGGATTGCAGCTACACATCTGATATATAGGAGAAGGAGATAGCAGTAGGACAAGAGATGGAAGAGCCTGATTTTTCTTACTCTGACATTTCCTGTCTAATCATGTGCTCATGCTTATTGTGTTTGAATGCTTAGTAAGAAAAATGTGACTGTGAAAGAAAGGTAGTGCACGTATGCATGTGAATGTGTGTGTGCCAGAAAGATTGTCATCACCCACACTGACAACACCACATAGTGTACATTGCGAGTGAGTGAGTGAGTGATTGCATTTGTGGGTTTCTGTTAACTGAGGAAATGTCTTTAGACTCTATCTTTGCTACAGTGAATGTCATGAAAAACTTGCTCTCTTTCTCCAGCAAACTTGGAGTAAAAATATAGATGGACACTTCCTTTTGCACATTTGTGCAAGTTTACAGGTAACTGCATTTTGTCACTTGACAACCGGGACCTTGTTTGCTGTATGTGGTTTAACAACAATAACTTGGCGTTGCAATTGCCATGCTCTACTATTTTAGCTACAGAAACAGCAGAAATAATCCAGCCTATATCAAGCACTGTGTCTGCCAAATCTGACCTCATCAATCCACAAGAATCTGATTGGTTCAAAGTTACCCGTCTACTCCCTCTCAACTCAAACTCTGAAACAAGGTGCCAGTGATGCCCCTTCAAGAGCTGTTTGCTCAGGGACACTGAAATGTCGTTTCACACAGCGCTAAGGCCACATGTGCCATCTACCCAGTCTGACAAACATGACCAAGCTTTGTCAGCAGGTCACCTGTTCTGTCCCAATGCTCTAGCTATCAACAGTGGTCCCATCACCCATCCCGACCTTCAGATGGTGAGAGTGCGTGACATTTTAAAAGTGTGACAGCATTAGTGCAGTGAAACACAATGTTCCCAACCCACCAGATTCCTTCCATTTCGGTTATATTAAAAGTCAAGTGTCTCCTGTAGATGGGAGCTCTTCCAGGCTTTTGACATCACTTTCAAGCACAAGCCGGAAAGAGGCTTGAACAACACTCAATATTATAGCATGACATTTTGGAATAACACCTGGGTTAAAATGAGCATAAATTACAGGATACAGACTACAATAAATATTAATTGTCATGAGGTATAAATGCAATTGAAATAATACAGTCAGGTACAAAAGACCATATTGAAATACTGTTTTGTTTTATTTTCAAATTTTTTTGTAACTTTTGTTTTTTTTTTTAGCATTTTTGTTGGTGGTCTCAGACTTTTTTTCACATTAAGGTAATGAGAATTGAGTAAAAAGTACTTAATTTTCATAAAATAATGTCATAATGGAAAAAAATCCTTTATATTGCTAAATACAGGCTTTGTTTTTCTTATAATAATTTCTCACTTTTTCCTTTTCCTTTTGAGGTCATTATGTTCTTGACAGGCTTGTGAGTTTCATTACCGTATAGATGTCATTCTTGGTTGATTGGGTTTATTTTTACCCATAGGTAATCTGCTTTCTAGTCAGTGCTGTCGTGTTTTTAGGATTACACGATGACAGTGTTGTTGAACAGAAATTGCTTTCCATGAATTCACTGCTATGCAGCTACGCAGTTTAAAACGACACCTGTCATTACATAAATGATTACGCAAGACCGCAGAGCAGAACAGATTGGGAGGCACTGGAGTCATGAGACCACAGTTTCCCTGCACTGGCACAATTTCTGATAAAACTGAAAGAAACTGCATTTTTTTATAGCTGATATGCCAAAGGTTGCCAGACACTTTGGAATTGATTAGCTGTCTGTTGAGAGAGAGCAGGATAAAGAACAAAAGATATCGGGGGAAACAACAGAGATGTGGGGGCTTCAATCTGAAAGAGTGAAATAGGGGCATCACCTATTTGTTTTGATTGAGCTTGAAAAGAGCAGTTAGAGAGACAGAAAAAAAAAATTCTAGAAGACAAATTGTCATAGCAGGGTGACTAGTGACATCCACCCATCATTTCCTAATGGATGATGACCCTGTAAAGGCTAAAGGTCACTTATAGCTGATATGCCAAAGGTTGCCAGACACTTTGGAATTGATTAGCTGTCTGTTGAGAGAGAGCAGGATAAAGAACGAAAGAGATCGGGGGAAACAACAGAGATGTGGGGGCTTCAATCTGAAAGAGTGAAATAGGGGCATCACCTATTTGTTTTGATTGAGCTTGAAAAGAGCAGTTAGAGAGACAGAAAAAAAAAATTCTAGAAGACAAATTGTCATAGCAGGGTGACTAGTGACATCCACCCATCATTTCCTAATGGATGATGACCCTGTAAAGGCTAAAGGTCACCCTTATCCCCCCTCAACCTGGTCTATCTAAATAGGACCACCCTCTAGTGACACAAGATGAAGCACCTCTACCCGCTGAACTCTGCAAAACAATCTTCTATAGTGGGGGTCTGAATGAGATACATTGGGAGGTTTTGGGGAGGAAAAAAGTGTATTTCTGTATGCATAAGAAAAGAAAGAACAGAGGGAGGTGGAAAAAGAGAGACAGAGAAGGACACAAATAAAGAGAGATATAAACCGATATGTACAAGACTGAAAATACAAAAGTCACTTGAGTAAGTGTGTATATCTTTCAACAGGGTGACTTTCAGTTGTGTATATTCTTCATGTCAACACCTGTCCAAAATAGCAATCTAAAAATCCTGAGCAGATGGGCTCCTTCACTAAACGACACCAATCTATATAGCATAATGGAAAAACAGCCACCAAACTCAAATGTCAAGAGATATCTTTCATCCAGACAATTCACCCACATTAAAATGTGTCTAAATTTTAGTGGCTATGAATGGAACTAAAAAGGAAAAGAAAAGGTTTCCAAACAGATTTCCAAACACTCCTTTTGTCAACGTCCCTTTAAAGCAAGTCAGTTCCCTCGGCAGCCATACTGGTTACATCTCAGATAATATATATTTGAATAGTGAAAGACGAAAACCTCTAAAATGTGTCATCATATGTCATGTTTAAATAATATATTTCACATCAGGTACACAATTTGACGGCCAATGCAGCGCAGTAAATGTAACTGTGAGGAAAATTATGCACAAAATTTAATCTTGAGAAAGTGTCGCACTGTGGAGCAAAGCAATATTGATACAATCCACCTTTATGCTAAAAGTGTTTAAAGTTTCTGGTTTTCATTCAAACATTAAGTTTTAATATAATACACTAAAATTGTATTTTACCCAAATTTAATACACGTTTAAAAACATTTATAATATAAACATAATAAAAAATACTAGTAACAATGAAAAATATTAACTTTTAAAGTTAATAATAAACATATTTACAATATATATTATATAATATATATATATAAAATAGAGTCCATTCTTGTATGTGCAATAGATTCTTTATTTCTGCCCGGCAACAATCAGCCAGCCCCGCCCTACACTATGCCATTGGTTCAGTTTCAAGCTGATAAGTCAAGCAGCTCAATCAAACAGCAACGTTTTAAAGTGCTAAAGTTGTTTTTGCACAAACTGGGACAAAACAAAAGTATTTTACCATTGAAAAGAACAAATGTATTATTATAGTTGTGAAGTGATGTATGTAATGTAAAATGTTTTTGTGATGAATATTTGTATTGGTTGGGTGTTGAGCCTTTTGTCTAAAGAGAATTTTCTACCCCATTTGGGATAGACAATAAAGCTTTTGAAATTAACATAACTGAAAAGAACTGCAAAATGAATGATTGTTTTCAAACAAGTTTCCTGAACAATCATGTCGTCTGTCACTGGTCAGTCAAACAAATAGCCCCGCCCCAAACTCACGCCATTGGCGGAGTCAGTGTTGCTATGCGGGCTGGTCGGAATGCTCAAACAGAACAATGATTTGAAAGCACCACGGTGTTTACACTGTTCAGGGGGATTTTGCTGACAAATGGCTGACTTCCAGTTGTACTGTAGAAAGTATTTTAACAATTACAAAATTTAAATTTTAGTTACAAACCTGCCACCTAAACAGACAGAGGGCACGAAAGACAACCCAGACACCCAAATTCTCGAAAGACAACCCAGACACCTGGCATTTCCATGCCAGCTGACAGACAAGTCTATAGACAGGGAGCACTGCCCGTGTCATCTGTGTGTAAAGGCCAAGCCACACCTCCTGTGGCAGCCAGAACTGTAGCCTAAAATAAGCCATGAGTAACAGCAGCCGGGCCAACAGGGACGAAGCGGGTGACTAAATGCGACACAGCTCTGGCTTTAGCCGAGATGAGAGGAGAGAGGGGATGAATCACGGGAACAGGCGATCCCTGGAGGGAAGCCCCTGCACTCAGAACACTCCGTCCTTGGGAGCTGAGGATTGATGGGAATCGAGTGATAAAAACCAAA